GAGTTTGTTGAGAAGAGTTGGTCTTTATATATTTTTAATTGATATTTCATAATATTATCGAATTTGTCTTTAAGAATTTTGGCCTTATTGTTTTTAGTTTTACTAACAGTACTTCAGTAGAATTTTCTAACATATAATTTAGATTAATCAATTTTTAGTTCATAATACTGTAAATATATTATTTATGTTATAATGTAATAATACAATCATACCGGAAGAATGATGTAATCATTTTCTCTTTAAATCTTTACTCCTGATAGTGACTTTCTCAGTTGAACTTTCACAATCTATAATAAATATAATAATAAAATGAAATCAGATTATGCATGTGGTTTCTCTCCAAATTATTACCTATGACGTTATGTGGAATTTTATACTTTATATAGCATATCAAAAGGTAAATAGCATAAGCAAAGAATAATTTATTAGAATTTGCACATTATAATTCATACTTTCATACCAAGTTATTATCTACTAAAACAATTGATACTAAGTATGAAGATGCATTTTCAATTTTATTATTTTTTTGTTCAGCCTTCAATATTAAATTATGTTAGTATTTTATTATTTCAAGAATATTTAAATAATTTTTTACCTTATCATTTATTGAAGTTGGCAGAATTTCTTCATTTTTATTATTTATGTTCTTTTAATAATAGTAATAATTTAAATGATGTTATACACTTTAAGGTCAAGAATTAAATAATAATTAAAACTTCACCTGATCATCAGTAATTGAAGAGACTGATGACATATTCTAAATTTGACAAAAAAGAAAAATCAACACATGTAAAAAAAATAATAAATAAAATAAAATGAAAAAAAGTAATAAATTACTATTTGTTGATTTTTGCTGGTACAATAGGAGGTTGCAAAAGGTTTGTTCTAACATTAACTTTGTTCTTGATAACAAAAATTTTTATATTTAGTATATAATCATAAATAATCTTATTTGATTACATAGTATTTAATATTTACTATAAGTTCACTAATACTAGATAAGGATGAAGAACTTTTATCTGTCAAATCAGAAGAAATGCTTTCTAGAGGTTTATCATTGTCCTTTTGTCAATAAAAATCAGTTTAGAGATATTACAATTAGCTACCATCATCATCATCATATTAATATTCATTCAACTTGTTGGAATATTCATTCATCTTGTTGGTATTTTCCTCAGAAGCTTTAGATTTCTTATTGATTTTTTATTGACTAGAATTATTTTTTCTCAACATTGAAATTATAGCATTATCAAATTCTTGCTCATCAATTTCATCGGCTGAGTCAGAATATTCATCAGACTGTTCATATTCTTTTTGAGTTTTACGTAGCAGAAAACTATTCTCCATTTCTGCAGTGTCGTTAACATATTTATAACCAAAAAATCGTTCATAAATCAACATTCTGTCTATGAAACTGCCTTCTGCGCACTATATATTATTATTTACTGATTTATTTCATTTATTCTCCTTTTCTGCACTTTTTGTATTATTTGGGGTTTGATCTAGGCATTAGATATATGCAAAAAATTTTTTTGTTAGAGCCCCAAAATTTTTATTAAAAATATTATTAATAATACTGTTACAATTATTATTTCTTCTAGGATTCTGCCCAAATTTATAATTGAATTATAAATTTTGGCTGACTAGGGTTTAATTTAGGCTGAATTGGAATATAAATTTAGGCAAAATTAAGGTAAAAATTTTGGCAGAATTAAGATTTAATTTGGGCAGAATTTGAATTTTGTAAAAATAGAGTATAAATTTGGGCAAAATTAGAATATAAATTTAGGCAGAATTAAAGTATAAATTTGGGCAAAATTACAATATAAATTTAGCAAAATTAGAGTATAAAGTTTGGGCCGATATGTAATTTGGTAAGATTAAAACAGCTTTTAACTCATTATTTATTGTAAATTGAACATGAGACTTTATTTAAATCATGGTTAAACTTAAACTTTAAATACTTGCCATTGTATGAGAATAGATTCAGCCCATAATTGAGAGATTTTAATTCTATAGAAGGTGGTTCATACTAAGATTATAATCGCTATATGCTTGATCTACAGTGCTGATTATATTATCTATTTGATGCAGCTCTAGGTGAAAGCATTTGGTTTTTAATCTAGTAAAGATCTTTCATATATTTTATTCCTCTGGTATCTTGATTTTGATAAAATTAATTCACAGCTTTAGTAAACATAATGTTGGTAGAATTAGACCATAATTCTGGTAAACATAAATTTGATAGAATCGATTCGTTATAACTGATAATTAAATCGTAACTCGTGTTCCGCATGACCTGGACTAGGTGAGTATTTTTAAAAATTCAGATCCGGTCTGAAAACCAATTCGGATCTAAGTTAAAGGTCCGAAACTGTATAACATAGATCTGGGTCCATAAAGGCATAATTTTGGTAGAATTAATTCGCAGCTTTGGTAAACATAATGTTGGTAGAATTAAATCATAACTTTGTTAAACAAAACATATCTTGTAGAATTAATTCGTAACTCTGGAAGACATAATTTTGGTAGAATTGATTCATAACTCTGGTAAATATAATTTTGGTAAATATCAGATATAATTAATTCGTAATCTGGTAAATATAATGTAGATGAAATTAATTAGTAATTCTGGTAACCATAAATTCGGTAGAATTTAATTAACTGTTAACATTAACTCGTAAATATAATTTTGGTAGAGTTAACTCAAAACTCTGGTAAACATAATGTGGTAGAATTAGCTTATAACTCTGGTAAACATAATGTTGGTAGAATTAGCTCGTAACTCTGGTAAACATAAATTTGGTAGAATCGATTCGTTATAACTTTGGTAAACATAATGTTGGTAGAATTAAATCATAACTTTATTAAACAAAACATATCTTGTAGAATTAATTCGTAACTCTGGAAGGCATAATTTTGGTAGAATTAATTCGTAACTCTGGTAAATATAATTTGGTAAATATCAGATATAATTAATTCGTAATCTGGTAAATATAATGTAGGTGAAATTAATTAGTAATTCTGGTAACTGTAAATTTGGTAGAATTTAATTAACTGTTAACGTTAATGTTAACGTTTAACTTGTAAATATAATTTTGGTAGAGTTAACTCAAAACTCTGGTAAACATAATATTGGTAGAATTAGCTTGTAACTCTGGTAAATATAATGTTGGTAGAATTAGCTAGTAACTCTAGTAAACATAAATTTGGTAGAATTGTTATAATTAAATCATAACTCTGGTATATTAACCTTAAGGTTATAGCTTTTTACTTATAAAAAAAAAATTATTATTGCAAAGAATTGGGTCATATAATTTGACAATTGAATTAATAGTGTTATCAATGTAATAACGAATTATACATTTTATTTTTTATTCAACTTTGAAAAAATTTTTAGATTAACACTCGAGGGAATTTATATGATCTAATGTAAGTTCGTTTAGATAAGGTTGCGAACTATAAACTATAGTTTTTCAAAAAAAAACCACTATTAGTTTATGAATATCACGGTTGTTTGGCCGGTATTATACAGAAATGTTGATCATGAGACATAGACAGAAGTTTGTTTAATTGGCTAATGCAAATCAATTGCCCGGGTAACTTATTTATACACTTTAAAGTACTTTTTGAGAACGTAACGTTTCACTAATAAAAAAGAAAAAATTTTCACATATATCGCTTCGTTTGAGTACTAGAAAACCATCTTTAAAATTAATCTTTTATAATCTAAAATTTAAGAGGTATTAGCTTAGTAACGACTTTTTTTTAAAATGAGTAAAGAAAAAAACTTAAAGGTAGTTTTAAAGTATTTTTTCAAAACAGAGCGCTCACTACTGCACTAATAAAAGTCATTTCAAGATCTATTTATAGTTTAAAGTGTTGTCAATATTCGCTATGCAGAAAGATCTCACTTCTGACGAACTTTGCCTTGAAGGCAAAATATAATAAAATATATCCTGTCTATTAGATCTTGCAATAAGGTAACTAGAAATATTTTTGTTTAAGAACTTTATTATATTATATTAAATAAATTTTGGTTAATTTGTAATAGGTACAAGTTTTTTAATAGTAAAAAGACCCAGATTTAAGTTTGGTTCGCTCCTTTAGTATATTTGGGATTGTTAATTGTAAAATTTTTGGATTATATTATATATTGTAGATTCTTCAATGATTTTGGGTTTACTAGTAATAAATATTATATTTGTTTCGCTCTACGCGTATCTATCTATTTTCTAAATATATATAAAGTTCTTTTGTGTATATTTATTAGCTTGTAAACTTCTTTGCCTTTTTTTATTTTTGATATTAGTAGTTATTACAGTAATTAAACGATAAAATTTTTTACAAATTATGCAATTTGATTGGTTAATAATCACAGGAAATCACAGATAAATCTATAAAAATTGACTAATCAAACAAACTTCTGCCTATGTGATCACGAGACCTTATCTCTGCCAACATTAAGACAGAGATAAGGTCACATGAATCGATATATAAGATTATCTCTAAGAAAAAATAGAAGTAGCTACGGTTTTAGACTTTAGTAGTCTTGGAACTAGAATTAAGCTTTAAATTAGAGAGGTGGCTTTTATATAGCATTTAATAGAAATTGTATAATTCAAAAGAAATAATTCTTAGTCAATTTCAATTATTCCTATGTTTCGAATTTCGAGTATTACTCGAACAAAATAAAATTTATGCGATTCCAATTAGAAAAGATTGATGGTTAATTATTACAATCAGAATTCTGTTTACGTGGATAGTCAACTACAAATACATATGCGACAATTTTAATGCCGATTAAAGAAGAGGCCAAATAAACTCTTGATGATTTATTATTTAATTTTCATTTACTTGCATCCTTAATAACCTGCTAAAAATCCACGTGGTTTGTAAAGCTTAATTAGATCATATTATTTGCGTTAGATCATAGTGCGGACCTCCAAAAATTCCTATAGGAACAAAAAATTAAAATAAGGTAAACGAATAACCGCGGCGAAGATAATATAAATTTCATAATTTAGGATCTCCTTATTTTAAGCTCGTTTATGAAAAATCAATTACTATACATTCACAATACAGAGTTTCTTTTTAAATACTTTTTCATATTTTTATTAAAATACATAATTTAAATTTCGAAATAAAAAATTATTTACAACTTTTTAGAAAAAAAAATATTAAGACACTAGACTAGATTCTTAATTAATACTGTCATTAGATATCAAAATATTTTCCCAATTTTATAATTAATATAATATACATTAAAGAAGTAAATTTATTTACATAAGAAAAAAAGTTATTTTTTATTAAGAAAACTAATGTATAAGTTCAAAAACTAAAGACGAATTTTTTTTTATTTCTTCTCTGATTTCATGAATGTGGAATTCAAATGTTTCTTTTTTAGCTGTTACTTTTGTTAAGTTCTTACCTAATCTAATGTATTCTACATCCTCGAGTTTAAAAATTACAATGTTTGTTTTTTCTTCAGGATTTTGTAAAACAACTGTAGCAAAAATTGCTTTTATTTGATTATCAGATTGTTCAAGAATATTTCGTTTATGAAATCTGAAACTTGCAGATATATTTCTTTTAAATAAAATACTAGAGATAAATTTATATTTATCTCTGTATATATGAGGGCAGATAGTTTTATATTTTGGCATTCTTTGAAAGCAATAAGATTGTATGAAAATTGAATCTTATAGAGTGAGGATTTTAATAGTAAAGCTATAAGATTGTATAAAAAATATATTGATAGCTAATTCAGGATAAAAAGGGCTCTTTATATATTTAAGATGAAATAGTATCTGATATCCAGATTCTTTATAATAATTATTTTTTATATATTAATTGACAATATTAAACGTATCGGTATTACAAATTGACATGACTAATAATTGAAATTATTATAATATATACTGTATATTCGGTTGTTCTATATTTAAATTGACTCGAATCAACAACTAACTCATGATTTAGGTACGAATATTACATGTAATTTGTCATGTTTCAAACCTTATCAGTTAATGGTTTTGCCAACAAGTATTCTCATCGGTAAATTGAACACATATTTTGCTTTAATGTCAATATTCAAAAAGTTTCAAAATTTCATCTTGAGAAATTCTATAAATAGTAAATATCGCCAAAAATCCCAATCTATTGAGTCTTTAGGATAATAAATTTTATATATTCTGTTGGCCTTGAAAATTTTGAATTCTTTTGTTTCAACCATATAGGGGTTACCTTCGTATTAATTAAAATTTATAAAATATAAATTTTGAATACTTAAGGCACGAATAAAAGACTAGATTTTTCAATAGAAATTAAATTGTTATATATAAAAGAAGTAAGCTTTTCTATTCTTAAATTGTTATCATTTATGTTAATACTGTCAATAAAGAATTGAAGCCAAGAATCGACTAAATTTGGCTTAATTTTTTCTAATATTTCTATAAGTCTTATAATTTCTAAATATATTATTATTCCTTTTTTGTCAAATTTTTCTTCACGAGTCATGTTATCAAATTTAAATTTTAATATATTCTGTTTATTATAATTTGTTTCTTTTAATGAAAAAGTATTCATTTTTGTTTTAAGTAATCTGTTTTCTACTTTCGATTGATACTTTTGAAAATTATTTTTGTTGTTATTCGTCTCATTTACTGCGAAATTCATTTCGTTTACTGCGATATTTGTTTTATTTACTGACTCTTCGTAATATATTACATGAATAAATTCATCATCTTGAGTGGATTCAGTTTTAGACAAATCGATAATTAAATAGCAAATAAATAAAAATATTGTAAGACAAAAGATAATATTGAAGAAATCCATTTTGCAATTTATTTTTAAAAAATGCGATTTCGCACAGCTTAAAAGGTACTTCTAATGATTTTAAATAAATTCATAGAAATCTAAACTCTGCATAACTAATTCTCGTGCATAATAATTATAAGAAACGTGTTAATAATTTAAAAAAAAAAACAGAGAAATTTTTTATATTTACTCGAGACTTGATTTTTGCAAATGTGCATTATTGCGCTGTATTTTTGGGGCTTAGCACGCATATTGGAACACATCTTTTTTTTTTGTTATTATAAAAAAACTTGTTTATTTAAAAAAAGAAAATTTTTTGCATTTTCTCAAAACCTGATTTTTTGCAAATGAATATGCATTATCGCGCAGCATTTTTGAGTCTTAGTACACATATTAGAATGCGTTTTGTTCTTTGTATTATAATGCAATATAAATAATATAATAATAAAGTATACCAAATTTATTTTTTGTATAATATAAATAAATTAAAAATATAATTTTTTAATAATAAATTTGGTATTATTATCTTCGTGAAACATAAGAACAATTGAAGTTAAATCATTTTTTGTTATTATGTGACTTAATACTGTAACAAAAGTATATTTACCATTTGCATTAATTGGTTTGTTCTAAACATTCTTTGAAGATAATTGATTCTTTATAAAATTTAATGGGAACGCTTATAAATTATATAATATAATTTTCTCTGTAATAATATATTTATAAACCCAGTTTTTATAATTAAAAGATACGAGTGAATCAAAATTCAAGAACGTTTCAAGTTTAATTCTATTTATGATATTCAAGAATGTTTATCAGAATAACTATTCATAATTACTTACTTGTCAAGTTATTAGTGTATCCAAAGTTACACTGCCACATCGGTGCAATGAAATCTGATAGAGAATTAAAAGCATATCAGTCTAACCATTTGGTTGAACATTCTCCTCTATCAGTTATCGATGTTCTTGTAGTACTGGGCCTGTCTATATTAGAGAAGACCTTTCTGTATTAAAATACTAGAAAGCGTGCGTCTAAAAAGTTGGTGAATAGGATCTACTTTAGTATTGACCATGTAACCATTGACTATTCTGGCTATGTTCTTTGTTAGTTGATAATGATGACGCAAGTATTTTATTAATAAATTTTAATTCCAAAAAAACAGGAAGTCGTTATTAAAGAATTGACTCATCAGATTCTTAGTTGAATAACTTGAGAGAGAATTGCTATGAAAATTTCACCAACAATTCTGACTAACGAAAAAATCTCGCTATTGAATTTATTTTTATATTAATTCGGCACAATCTCTTCATGAAATATAATAATAATTATCACGTAACTTTTTGTAATTACTGTATTGTAATATAAAAACCGGTCTTTTAAATTTATTAAAGACAATAAAAAATTCGGTTTGTAAGAAAAATATAAATAATAAAAAGTTCATTACAATTCTAATAAAAAAAGTTGAAAAATATAAATCAACCAATGAGGTTAGAATTCTTCAAAAATTTATACAATTTTTAGCAAGACTTCACCATTATGGGTCAATAATGAAAATAATATACAAATGTTTAATATTAACAAAAGATGATTTAATCATAAAATAAAATTGGTTTAAATAATAGTGGCTTAAAGTAAAAAAAATATTGACCAACGAAAAATTCTGTGACTTATCAAATACTGAGCTCTTGATAGACTAGAAAATAGATAAATATGCTATAAAAATAACTCATTTTGAAAGTCATTTCATAGCAAAATCCAATACGAATGGCATTCCTAAAAAAAGTGTTTACTACAGTGGTACTCATATGGTTTGCATTACTCGAGAAAATTTTTGAATTCATATAACTTCTTAATAGCGAGATATTTTATGGATAGTTTTTTTTTTTTTTTTATTAAACATATAGTTATTAATACCAAAAATTTATCAGCAAAATTTTTGGTGTTAATAACTATATGTTTAATAAAAAAAAAAAAACTATCCATAAAATACCTCGCTATTAAGAAGTTATATGAATTCAAAAATTTTTTAGACGATGCAAAAAATACGAAAGCCAAAGTATTTTTAGTCACAACTCTGACCACTTAACTACCAGATCACAAATATTAAGTTGCTCTTTAACGAAAGGCAAATTGTAGAAGATAAGTACATGTCCCTTAAGCTAAACAAAATTGAGCAATATTAAGCTAATTATTTATCCAATTTGATTTTGTGACAAATAAATACTTCAGTATATTCGAATTCTGAAAATGATAATGTTTTTCTTTTAAAATGAAGATATTGTAATATTTTTGAGACTCTCAAAACTTATTTTTAAAAAGAATACGAAAATTATTATCCAGTTTTTGTTTGCTTTATAAAAATCATTTTTCTTATTAATCACTTTTCCAAAGGTCTCATCACCAATAATTACATTTCTTAGATGAACATAAGATAATTCAAGATTAATTGCAGCCATTCTTATTTTTTTCAGGAGAGTGTGATCAAGGTTGTTTTTTTTCAAAAGTTCATTGAATTCCTTGATAAAATGCTAGATATAATTGAACAGATCAACTAAATTTTTTCATTGTAAATCATTTATCTCACTACATAGCGATAGTGGGTTTTGTAGCCCAATAATCTCGTTTAAATATTTTGGAATCTTTAAGTCATCTATATCTAAACTTTTATTATTAATTTTGTCTTTCTTCAAGTAGTAATTAAATGATTCAAGTAATAAAATTTTTTTATCGTCTTCAATGGTGATATCGTTTAAGTAATCTATCGAAAGGTCCGATCTTTTTATATCTTTAACGATACTTAAGGACTCTATCAGATGTTTTTCTATGTCTTCTATTCCATCTTTTATATTCTCTCCGGTATGATAATTAGGTATTAAATAAAATTCATAAATTTTATTGAAGCAAGAATATAATTGATGTTTGAACCCAGTAAAAAAATGTTGCAAAGATTGTACTAATGTTTGTTCAGATGAACATTTTTGATTAATTAAGTTGTTAAAAGATTCTTCGTCAGTAAATAGTTGGTATTTATTTATTTCTCTATCATTGTGTTGAAAAGTTCTATTAAATAATATAGAAAACCCAACAACTAGACCAGAAAAAAACAAAAGTAGAATCAAATTAATCAAATTATTATTTAATACTAAAACCAAAGATACGAGAATCAAAATAAAAAAGACAAAAAAAATTAAAAGAAAAGAAAAAATAATAAGGGTAGCAGTATAGGCGAATCTTAGCAACAATGCTAATAGCTTTAAACAGTTTCTTAATATTTTTGTAATTTACAGGATTTGAACTAGATTTTACGTGTCCTTTTAATACATTTTTTCGTAAATAGACTTGTTCAAATAAGAAAATAATTAAACCAATTTTGTTTTAATTTATGCTATCTTTGCTACAGTTATTCGTATTACCTACTTTGCAAAGCATTAAAATGAAACTCCGAGATAAGTATGATTAATAATATTTTTCGTGTATATAGTGCTGATCTGTTACGCAATTAATACGCATATTTTTTAATTAAAATTTTTTCAGCATACAAATATGTGAAAAAATATAAATACTATGCAATAATATTTCAAGAAAGTTTAAGCGTAAGAATAAGCAAATAAGAAAATGATTAATTCAATTTTGTTTTAATTTCTGCTCTTCGCCGCGGTTGTTTGGAATATATAATATTATGTATAGTATACAATTGCAAATATGTATAGTATAGTCAATAAATTAAAATATACAAAATGTATATTTTAAATTTTATACATTATACATGTATATAATAAAATTATTAAAATAATTATACATTTTGTAAAATTGTACATATAATAAAAAATTATTTGGTATATAATGCATAATTAAGACTATACATATAAGCACAATATAATTTATTTAAGCATATTACTAATTTTATATATGAATACATATGTATATTATTTATTTAAGCA